TGCAGCGGTTGGAAGACGCCTGTGCCAGAGGTTCTCGGTTCAACAGAGATAAGAGATGCATTCCAGGGACCCGTCAGACAATTCTTCAGATTATAGCCGACTGGATCAACGATCCGCTTGACGCTCGTCGCGTGTTTCTGCTCTATGGGCCGGCGGGGTCGGGTAAGTCGGCGATCGCTCATACCATAGCAGCCATGTTCTACGATATGCTTCGCTTGGGATCCTCGTATTGCTTTGACAGGTCCAACAGCGAGCTTACTCGCGCTATCCCCGTTTTCGCCACCATCGCCCGCGACCTATCCGAGCGTGAGCCTCAGATTCGAATTCAACTTTCGCGGGTCATCGCCCGGGACTCCGCCCTTGCCACATCGAACGATCTTCGCGAGCAGTTTCGGCGCTTCATCGTAGAGCCTGCGTCACAGCTCGCGATCTCTGGGCCGATTGTCATCGTCATCGACGCTCTTGACGAATGTGACTCTTACGCACGCAGCAGTCTGTTATCAATTTTACAGAGTCAGGAAGCGGAGGATGCGCTCCCGCGTAACGTTCGCATCCTCATCACCTGTAGGCCAGAGCCCGACATCATGGACGTGATTCGGGACGCGCCTCTTGTTCATGCTCGATCAATGAATGACGTGCTGGGGACGACCGCCAACGAGGAAGACATACAGCTGTATGTCCGTGGACAATTGTCATCCCTCTCGAAAGTGCGTGATGTCGATACCATATGCGCCGATCTCGTCCGCGCCGCCGAGGGACTCTTTCAGTGGGCTGCGACAGCATGTCGCTTCCTGACCGCAAAAACTCCCCCATTGACCATCAAACAACGGATGACACTGGTTGTACCATCCGGTGGCAAACGCACCGCTAATAGCCAACTTGATACGCTGTACTTGGAGGTCCTTCGGACCACCTTCTCTTCCACTCACCCCGAGGTCATGGAGAATTTCCATCGTGTGATGAGTCTCCTCATGACGGCGATTGAACCGCTGTCCATCTCGGCCTTGCAGGATATCGTGAGTGGACAGGCAGACCTGGATTCTGATATGCTGGAAGGGGTACTCGCGGGCATGGGATCACTCCTATCTGGAACCGATCGCTTGGACGTCGTCGTGCGCCCTCTGCATACGTCGTTTCGAGACTTCATTCTAGATCCCAAACGCAGCCACGAATTTGTCGTCAAGCCAGGGAAGGAGGAGCATCTACAATTCGCGCGCGGGACCCTACGTCTTCTGTTGAGCGAGCAGTTGCACATCAACATGTGCGGACTCGAGACGTCATATCGTCTCAACACGTACTATCTCGATTTAGACGATCGTGTACGCAAAATGATCACGTCGAGCTTGGTTTATTCCACTCGCTACTGGGCTGATCATCTTGAGAAGACTCCATACGGCTCTGGCCTGCTGAAAATGGCGGAACAACTGCTGAAAGACAAGTTCCTGTTCTGGCTCGAGGTCTTGAGTCTTCTAGGATCTGTTTCCACCTGCGCATCGGCCCTCCTGAAGCTCAAGGAGTGGATTCCAAAGGTGTGTCTTTCACACGTGTATGTGTCTCATGCGGCTCACATATGTGTTCTGCCCTTAGGACACTGCGGAAGGACTGGAAACGGTCTCAATCATCGAGGACTTCCTCAAGTTCATCCGGGCTTTCGGGGTAGTGATCGGGTCTTCTGCTCCCCACATTTATCTCTCAGCCATACCTTTTGCACCGACGAGGTCACAAGTGCGCCGGCTGTACGAATCAAAGCTCCCCAGAAGAGCTACGGTGGTGTGCGCTGGATCGTCAGAATGGCCCGCCTTAGAATGCACCATGGACGGCAATGACAACGTCCTCTGTGCGGAATTCTCCGGCGATGGAAAACACATCTTATTTGTCTCGCCGGGACTGTCATGCTTCGATATACATTTTTGGGATGCGGCAACCGGACAGCCGGCCCGTCGACCTGTGCGCTGTGGTACAGATGATGATGTCTCGTCTGCCGCCTTCTCCTCAAAGCAACACTTTATAGTGGTGGGGTTGGAGGACGGCACGATTCAGGTTTGGAATGCCCCTGCAGGGCAGCATATCCACACGCTCAGAGGGCATACGGATTATGTTCGATCGGTCGCTTTCTCTCCTGACAGCAAATGGATCGTGTCGGCCTCGGGTGACAAGACGGTCTGTATTTGGGATATGCAATCTGAGAAGCTTGTCCATCCACCACTCCAGCCTGAGGGACATACGGACTGGGACCTTTCTGTGACTTTCTCACCTGACTCCACCTGGGTGGTCTCAGGTTCAACAGACGGAATGGTTCGCTTATGGGATACCACAACGGGAACACGTGTACACGAGCTATTGCGCAGCCATGCACCCTTACCATCTTTTGTCGCATTCTCGCAGGATGGAAAATGTATTGTTTCGGGTGACGAGACCGCCGTGCAGCTGTGGGATGCCGAGTCTGGCCAGCCTATCAGGTCCCCTCTCCGGGGCCACACTAGCAATGTCACAGCATTGGCGATCTCCCCGGACAGCAAGTTCGTTGTATACGGTTCTGGAGACGGTGTCATTCATCTCTGGGACACGATAGAACAGGCCCTTTGCACAACTTTCCATGGTCACTCTGACAGGGTGAACTCTGTGGCGTTCTCGGGAGACGGCCAGTACATCGTCTCTGGATCATGGGACAGGACTGTGCGCGTGTGGAACTCCTCAACCCGACGCGCTGAGAAGGATATTGTCAGAAGACACGCTGGCCTGGGCGACGGTATGGCTGTTTCACCAGATGGGCAGCATATTGTCACTTGGCACAAAAAAGACATTTGTGTGTGGGATGTCTCGACGGGAATGCCCGGTCAGGGGCAGCACTGGCCGGAACACACAGCCGACATACGCTACGTTGCGTTCTTACCCGATGGACACCGCGTCTTGTCGTGGTCAGAGGATGGCAACGTTTGCGTGTGGGAAGTCTCCACCGGCCAACAGATTCGTCAATTCCAAGTTCCTACCTCGGGATCCAGTAGGCCTTTCTCGGGAGCAATCTCTCCGGACGGGAAGTATATCGCATTGTCAAGCTCAGAAGAGATTATACACATATGGGACATCTCCACCGGGGAGCGTTCGCAGGAACCTCTCAAAGGGAACACTGCTCTCGTCGCATCCCTTGCATTCTCTCCAGACGGGAAGCGCATCGCATCGGGCGCATGGGACGAGAAAATACTCCTATGGGACGTCGAGACAGGTCAGACTGTATGCGAACCATTGGAGGGGCACACCTATTCGGTAGCCTGCGTCGCCTTTTCGCCCGATGGCGCTTCTCTCGTGTCCGGTGACGACATGGGCGTCGTTCGAATCTGGGACTGTGCCACGGGACAGACGATCTGCGGTCCTTGGCGTGGCCATGACAATTGGGTTCGCTCCGTCGTTTTCTCGCCAAACGGACAATACGTGGCCTCGGGTGGAGTGGATAGTACAGTTCGCTTTTGGGACGCGGTCACTGGGGCGGCAATCCGCGAGCCGTTTCGGGATCACACAGGTTGGGTCACTTGTGTCGTATTTTCACAAGACGGAAAATGCGTCATGTCATGCAGCAACGACCATACGATCAGGTTCTGGGATGCCTCCACGGGGCAGGCTGACGATGTCGAGGGACTACGGGGTGCGTCACCTCAACATTTCACTTGATCTCACTCACACTGGCTGTCCGGCGTAGTAGACAATTGCGTGGTCTCAACCCAACCGCGTTCAGTATCATTCTCGCCAGACGAGGATCACGCTCTTGCCGACATTCAGCTCGTAGTCCCAGGCGCTGAACAGATGTCACAGTTCGAAATCGACGATTCGTTCACGCTGAAGGACGACGGCTGGCTCATGGGACCTGACGATCGGCGCTTGATCTGGATACCGCAGCAGAACCGCAAGATGCTGTGGATGCCGCAGAACAGGCGGACCACGATACCTTGGGACGGAGTGACCACGCTTGATCTGAGCAACTTTGCTCACGGCGAGAAGTGGGCCGAGTGCTACGAGGCTGGCACATCCTGAATGAGCCGGTTCGCTGGATATCGTGGAGTGGAGAGGTATCTTGTTGTTCAGCTTTCAGTGCCGCCGGGCATCTTCTCGAATATGGTTGACGTGAATAGCGACGCGCCGAGGTGTACAGACTTTGTGTTCAGCGCAGATAGCTGGAGAGACAAGGCGATGACGACGGTGCTGGTCAATGAAATCCGATAGTAAATACTTGTCGTACAACATGTTTACTGATGTAGTCCTCGGGCCCAACGACGATCGTACATGCTCCCATGTTACCCGCCTTACCCACTCGCCGCCACTCGCATATACGCGCACAACTCGCGTCGAACCGTCCGATCGCGTGCTCGCCCCGAGAGGTTGCCTTCGCCTTGAGGTTGGTTTCGTAGACGGGAAGTTGCGTTGGCAAAGGTGAGGTACCGGCCGTTGACGAGGGCCTAGCCGGTGTGGAGCCGTACACGGTATGCGTTGCTACCTCGGACTACTTTGATTACTGTGCTTCGAGTAGGGCGGAGGCGGTGGTGAGATGAGATGATCGCCGGTGTGAAAACGGTCCTCCAGTGTATGTAGGATGGTAGGATCAATGAGAGGAGCAGGTGCGTACCGAAGCCGCCTGCCTGGCTGACTCCGTGACGAAGCGTTTGATAACGGCTCTGGCAAGAGTCCGCGTGCGCGCAGTTCTGGTGTCGGTCTCATCTGGGATGGCGAACATGACTCAGATGCAACGCGTCGTGACCGCCAAGCAATACCCACCGTTCTAACAACGATCCTCTGCGAGCAGCATGCGACCACCCTGCCCGCAGATTTCTCATCAGCATGTCGTTCGATCTCCGATGAACGAGATCGTCGCGCACCGCCGCATCGCTCCCGCCATATCTCAGCCTTTCTTCAAATTCGCAACGAGCTGCACCGGCGGTCTCCTGACGCCGATTGTTGGAAGAGATGATCACGATGGACATGACGGGGTCTACAGGGAGTCGTTGACCGTGCCTCGCGCCGCGCTACATTTCGTCGGCTCGTGGACCGCGCAGGTATGATATCTGGCGTACAGGTTGGGTGGCAAGGCAAGGCGAGGTTTTCGTCATGCAGATGGATGAGTCATACAGAACAAGCACCGTGCGCTACTGCTCGGAGGGAAGGAAAGGGGTACAACAAAGAGAGAGTTGATGGCCGTGCGTGCAGCACGGACCGGAATGGCCGTTCTTGATGCACAGAGTCGCCAGCGGTCCCGGTCGAAGGGGTTTTCGCATGCCCGTTGCGCATTCAGATGGATCGCCTCAGCACCTCGAGCGGCTGTTTACGGGCTGCTTGTGTACAGGACACGAAGCAGCGGACGGTCTGAACGCGAAGGAAAGCATCTGGGGCCCCACCCGTTGTGATATGCGTGCCTCAGCAGAGCGCACATCGTTATTTGCGCATACCTGCTCGGCCTTCAGACGAGGTAACGTCGATCGTCCGACACGAAACTGGTGCAGGCCTTCATCGGCCTCTCTCAGATCTCTCGCGGGACCCTGACGCCGGAGGCCCCGCTGGGTGAGCAGTATGCAAGTGGTGCTTCGGCAGTCGCGCCCGTAAACGACACGATGCAATTGAGCATGTCGATGGAATTCCGAGCTTGATGATTTGGCGTGGGCCGGGGCTTTTGCGAGTGGTCCCATAGACGCCCTAGGGGCGCTGTTCCGGCGAGTTTCAGGCATGCGACAGAGGATTGAGAGATGAAAAATCACGCAGATATAAAATCGTATTGCCAGGCGAGTTTAGATCTGCGAGTACGAAGGTAAGTAGGCCGCGGAAATGTGGAAGAACGTGAAGCGACGGGCGACGCTCTCTCTCTGCCACCGTCGCACCCCAAGATGTACGCCAATCAGACTGAAGACTCGCGCTGGGCGATATGGGAACGAGGACGGACCCGAAGAATATTTGATGGTCGACGTTAGCGTGAGTGTTCGATTTTGCGAGAAATCGATGATGGTCGTTCGCTCACCTGGTGTTGTGCCACGCAGTCGAGCGCCGAACGTTGAACAGGTCAAATGCCCCTCCTGCTCGGTCCAGCGCACTTCCAGAGTCCAAGAACGCGTCGACCGCACGCGCCGCCATTGTCCCCGACCAGCAGCCTCGTCTACCGATCACCTTGGACAGGACGCCTCTGCTCTCCTTCACCCTAGTCATGCTCCACCACAACACTCTTTCCCGGACGCGATGCAGTCCATGTATCAGCATATGCGCCTCATCGTTCCGTCAACCTCCTCCTCAACGTCGGCGTCATGGCACCGTCACCGCCGTTATCACGCCTCCTTCTCGTCCGCGAATACTATATCGCCCTCAACGTGGTCCACCGGCACGGCGACCCGCTCTCTGTATACGAAGACGCTTCGCCCAAAGGCGCGCAGTCCAGTGATGACATCGAGCTCGGATATACTTACAATGGGCCTGAACACCGTGACCGTTGTGCCCAGCCTCGATCCGGACAGACAGTTGTCGAGCGGAGTGGACGGGAGGCGGACGATATCGCTCATCAGGAGCAGCAATTGTATGCACGGCCGGTACGTGTTTCCTCTCTCGTCTCTACCCTCCGTACTCGCTCCACAGTCCACGGATGCTGACACTGGCATATATGCGTATCTTCCGTAGGCGGCCTCACGACGAACGCACTGGAGTGGCTCTACTTCGGCCGCCCTTCACCATCACGGAAGATCATATTCGCTCGCTCATTCGGGTATTGAATATCCTGTGTGTGGCTCCCCGAAAGGCCGACTGAGGTGTGTGCACGTCTACATTTTCTTCCATGCTCCTCTATCTTTACGTGCTCGCTCTGGTCATGGTACATCCCCATTGCGTGAGCCCCTCCCTCTTCTGTTTTCTGCACATTTCCGTTACGATTGTCGCTGACGTGCGCCCATATACATGCTACAGGTACTTTCCACCTTGACGCACCGCCTACCAATCATCAACACCCCACCTCGAGACGACTTGCGTCATCATCGAATGCGCGAAATGCACGCCAACCGCTACTTGTCCACGTCTATGGTCGACGGCAGTGGAATGTGCCCCTCTTCTGCAAACCGGTGACCTCGTCAAGGATTCGCATCGTCCTCATGCAAACATTCGGATCCCGTCAGACTGACATCGAACCTTCGGTCGCAACCGTCAAGAACGTACGCGACGAACGCAGCGCGGATTCTATCCAGGGCTCTATCGACGGCACAGGCGCATTCCGACGGTTTGTCTCGGTCCTTCTTCACCGTGTCCCCTCCTTTTTTCTTCCTCAACTAACCCTCACCTCTCTAGGACCCGAGTCGCGCGGCATCATCGTATCGCCTTTCGTCGTCTCCGTCTCCTGCGGCCGATCCGAGCGCGTACGCGCAGCGCTAGTGTGCCGAGGGCGCAAATTCTGGAACGCTCGACGCCAGCGTGCTCTCCTCCTCGGGTGACGATGGCGTGGCGAGCTTCCTGGTTTCATACAACGTGCGGCGTCTAGAAGTCGGAGCGGGAAGAGGTTCGTCAAGGGCTTCGAGGTCTTCGCCCTTCCGGCACTTTCAAGAGGTGGATCCGCGTGAATAGCATACCTGGTGACCGGTCGGCCTGGATCACGCAAACGGACGCTGCTTGGATGAGCATGCTTGTACATGATGGCATTCATGCGATGCGTTGGTGCAGGCGGATTCGCTTCAGGAGCTGGGGTCGAGATCAGTGGTCCGATGGTAGTCGTGGGCGCTATACGCTCGGTTGCGGGGCGCGGATGTTGAATTAGAGAGTCGCAGTGGGTTGGCTATGGACGTTGTCAAAGATTAAGAAAGCCATGTCGAATACGATCTAGATCACAGCATGCAGACGGAGCTGGCGGTGAAGCCGGTAGGAGCCAGACCTGCAGAAGTCGGCCGGTGCCGCAAATATGCAAGAACACTAGGGCACGACGATGGAGAAGGGAAGGCTGGATCGGCTTCGGCCGCCGGCGGTTGCGTCGCATGCGCGGTTCGGAGTCTCTCTTTCGGCCACCTCCGCACGTCAAGATGCATGCATTGCAAGCCAGATCAAGGACTTGCGTCTCGCTGAAGGGGAACGGGTATGAATACGAGCAAGAGATGATACGATATTCGGTAGTCAACAGCGTGAGTATTTGAGTATGTGCTGGGTTGACGACGTTCATGTGCTCACTCGGCCTTACCAGTGCGGAACATCTCATGCGGGTGACATTGAGCCTCCATCCCGCTTCCTCTGGTTCTCAATAGATCGTGTGTCTCTCCTACTGCGCTCCAGACTAGGGGCACATCCAGCAATGCATCCGCCTCGGGAGTCGAACGCGCCTCCATCGCAAGGCCATCCCCGACGAGCTCCGTCGCAGGCGCTATGACAGAATTCGGCAAACTCCCTCGGTCATGAAGCTGTCGCTCGCTAGCACGTGTACCTTATCCTCCGCCCACGCCCCACGGCTCCTCAAATTACTCTCCGCATCGAAGATCGCCGGGACCCTGCCACCGTTACCACCACCCTCCTCGTCCGTCCCACGTGTATCATCACTGCCGCCAACATGGTTCACTGTGATGGCGACCGACTCTCCGAAGACGAAGACCTCCGATCGAATGCGCCCAGGGTGGCGACGGCATTCGAACTCGTTATTGATGTGGCCATCGCGCCGGATACGCTCTCCACCCGGACTGGCCGTGCAAACCTCGAGCGGACTAGACTGGAGGTCGATGATTGCCCAGCATGAGCAGTGCAAGTATATGCGGCGGCCCATCCAGTCCGGTACGTGATTCCTCTCCTCTCCTCGCCGTACTTGAACCGAAGTCCACGCATGCTGAGGAGCGCATAGATGCATCCTTTCTGTAGCTCACTTCACGACAACGAACTTGGCCCGCTATCCTCCAACACCAACCTGCCCATCTGCGGGAGTACCGTACCTGCCTGCTCGTCCAAGTCTTCGACGTGCCGCGATCGTCCGAAGAACCGCGATTAAGGTGCGCGATTTTTCTCATTCCTCCTTCTTAACTTGAACACGCTCTCTGTGAATCTCGGCCGCTTGCATCGTCTTCTCTTACTATACTCTTCCTATATCCGCTTCCTGATAGACGCTGATGCGCGTTCGTAGGCTCATACTCTAGGCACCTCAGGACTTATAAAAGTGTATTCATCTTCGCTACTTTAACCCTCGCAGGACCGTCCTCGACGAGGAACCTCGTCTGCCTACAACTCTTTCTGATCGTGCCTCTGGTGACTGTTGCCGACGCCACAGACCATTTTCACAACGTCCCCCGGCGCGATGCGATGCAAGTACCAGTCCATGTCTATCATCCTCCCGCCTACACCCTCCGTTTCCTCAGACTACTGTGCGCGTCGCATACCGCAGGGATCACCACCGTCCCGCCCGCCTCCTCGCTCGTTCAAAGTGTACCGTTGTCGTCCAGCGATCTGCCCCGCAAAGATGGAAAAGCTCCGACCGTCCCGATGGGGATGCGGATGTCGAACTGGTCAAACGGAAGTTCACGGCCGTCCATGAGCCCAGTTCTTGCTAAACATGTATCATAGCATATATGTGCAGTAAAGCAATACATCCGACTTTGGTACCGCGCAGCCGAGTAAAGTACTAGAGCCTACTCAATTCAGGTACCTATACTATGCCAACGTTCACAATACCTGCAGCTCGCAAATGCCCTCCCGAGTGCCAGGCTTCGCGCGAACGCGTCCGATGCTGGCAGTTAGAACCCGATTTCGGTGAATGCAGATGCAGACGCAGCGCTGGTGAACGCCATTGGGGACGCGGCGACGTTGTACGTTGGTGACGAGTTGACGCAACGCCGTCCACCGTCACGGTTGGTGCGAAATGAGCAAGCTCCGGCAGAGAGTACGGCAGCGATCCCGAATAGTCCGCCAGCTTGACCTACGGAGCAACCGAAGGAAGAGGCTTTAACACCTTGCATTACGAGTGCTGTTGCATCCGTTGGCACAGCGCTTGCCTTGCTAGGATCTTCTTCCTGTCCACGACGGTGCCATAGCTTCATGAAAGCTCTTCGATCCCGAACTCGCAATCACGTCCCTCTTATCCTCATCGATGGGGCGCGCTGCACGACCTCGGCAGTTTGGAGCAGATAGCGTAGGCAGCAAACGACCTCGCGGCAGAGAATGTTCGCATCGTCCGCCGAACGGTGAAGGATCTCGACTGCAATGGTGCCGCGTGTGGCGGAGCTTGCACGATGGACGAATCGACGACAGAGGAGCCGCCGCGGGTGATGATGGGACCCAGCGTAGGCACTGCGACGGGTCCTCGTCGTCAGGCGCAAAGGAGGGAGCGGATGTAGAGTGAACGATGAGACCAAAGCTAGCTTGGAACATCGCCGCGAGGATATATTGGCATCTTGGGAGGCCGCAGGGGAGAGCACGATCGGTTCTGGTGCGCATGAGAAGAGGTGGCTCGTGATTGCGCTCCGGGGTGACAGGATGTGCGCTTCGCTGAGCAATGTCCCCATCCTATGTTTGTGCTCGAGCTTCTTAAAGGTGTTCGGGGTGGCGGATCATTCAACCACGGATGACCTTGATGGCGACGCTGAAGTCCGCGCGTCTGATGACGGCGAAGCTGTTGGAGGGCTTGGTGCGATTCGCAAGGCTGCATTGACCTCACCCTGATCTTCGGGAGGCAATGAGAATATCTTGTTGAGTGGATGCTATGTACAAGGGCAGCTGGGGGCATCGCCGATGAGGAGGATACAACGGCATCTTGAGCAGCCGCAACGGCGTTCGATAGCCACCAGCGAAAACGAGGAGGAGGGGGATAATCCGAAACAGGGGGTACGCGGGTGGTAGGCCTTCATCACTCGGGTTAACAAGACAGATGGCGGACAAACTGGACTCGAACATACAAAATCACAGCGTTGGATACTTGAGGGTCTCGTTCCCTTGCTCGTGATTGTGCATGGTGCGTGGTAGCCATCGTGCGCGCAAGGATAGGTTCTTAATTCCCGTCTGCGCAAAGAAGAATTATGAGAACCAGCGGGTCGAACAACGCAAACTACTCACTGGAATGGTGTGCACTCCGGGTCAATTATCCTCCACCGGAAGCGCCCGATCGTGACGTTCCCTGAAAAGGGAAAGCACCATATCTTATCGTCCGAGAAGAGCTCGTTATGCGATACGTACTCACCCTCATCTTCCAGCAAGGACAACCCATTTGTCGGCCTGAACCACTCCTCCTATGAAACCGCGTCCTAGCGGGGGAATCTCGTCCGGTGACAGGTCAGGCGTGGTCTGCGCGGACGGCTACCGCGTGGAGGAGGATGTCGCTAGTAGACAAGAACGCCGTGTGTTGGGATGGGCTGGTTCGAGAGACTTTGTGGTTCTTGTCGTGTATCTGTACAAACGAGACATAGTGAGCGGCATGGAGCTTCGCAGGGAGGATATAGTGACGTACGGCGGTCCTGTCGACGTCGTAAAAGTAGCGTACAGCCTTTGGGTGGCGTACGGGCGCGAGTTAAGGGTAGCAAATCCTGGCGATGCAAAATGCGCTCCGGAAACGTCGTCGGCGACGCGATTATGACCACTTCTTGCATGAACGTTTCTGTCTTCTGGCTACGATATTCAAGCACGCTGTAAACATACCGATCGATCCTGAAAACATCATAAAGAAGCGGAGATAGACACACGCACGCAGTTGGCAAGATCACAATGCGCCCGGATCCGAATTATACACGCCTATGGTCAAGAATCCTGTAATGCCGCGCCATACTCCAACGTCCACGCGATAGATCACCGCCTGGTTGAACAAGGTGGAAGCGTCTCGAAGGCCTATTGCAAGCAGTTGTTGTGGTTGAGGAGCATGGGTAGAGCCGCGGCCCGCAGGCGCTCCACCGTGGGCTGCAATGCGAACTTGTACAAAGCCGGGACGAAAAGGGCCGTCGTAGGTGGGCACGGGCAAAGGCAGAGAGGGACAGAGAGGGTGATAGTGATACTGAACGCAATCCGGATTGAAACACAAAATGCTAGTACAGTACTATGTAGAGCCTGAAGTCGCAGGTGATCCGATGGTGGTGGGGGGCGCTTCGCCGGTTGCAGGGCAGGCTGTGCGACGAAAGGCTGTATCGTCCCACTTGGGCGAGATAGATAGCAATATTGGACGCGATTGGTGATCGTGCATGTGTCGTATAGCCTGCAGCAGAACAAACTCGCGGTGCAAGACTGGTGTTGCAAGTGGAGTTCTCTTGCCGCGGAAGGTGCGCCTCTTTCTGACTTCGACTTCGACTTCGACCGCGGACGGCACTCACGACCACTAGTTCGGATCGACCGTGCGCCAACCTGCCCTACTTTGCGCACATACGTGTTACTTATCTACGAGTCGGAATACACGAGCGATATGATGTCCATTGTGTCGACGACTGGCTTCATTCTCTGCAGTCTACTTGGGTAGACTGTTCGCGCAGACCTCCGGCGTGTAAATGAGGCACCCTGTCCGTCTTCAGCATACAACACAATAAAGATGTGCTACCTACTCTTCACCTCGACCACCTTGGGCGCGAAGGATGGTTTCATGTGGCGCGCAGAACCCTGATCGTGAACGGTGGTAGACAGTTCGCCGGCTTGACAGCGGGGAAATGACCGCGATGAAAATACGCCTGTCGCATCTTTCATTCGGTACTAATCCGTCGCCGACTTTTCTCAGGCTCTCTCGTAACCGCGACGCACAAGCTCCGAGCTCATAGGCGCCGGAGAAGATCCCAAAACGGTCGGGCAATGCGGAATCCTCGTGTCTGGCACGCATCCGGGCGCACTCTCAACCCCGGCCCTTCAGCGGTGCATGCTCTGACCAAGACCACGACGTCTCTCGTTCACCGACCATCGAGAAAATTCACACATATCAAGCACTTTACAATCCGCAGCAGTAAGCCATCGTCTCGACCCAGGATCCACTGAATGAACGAGTTGCCAGGCCATGCCGGTCGGGAATACGTTGCGAAAGCTCCTCTGTTGCTCAGACACGCACACGCAGGAGGATACCCCGATTGATATAGGTCCTGTCCGCGACAAGGTACGACTTCCTCGTTGGGTTTGCCGTCCTCGAGGGATCAAAGCTTGATATCCTGTTCAGGCACCGGCACTGGAGCAGCCAGAGCCATCCCGGACGGTTCACGCCAGCGAGAGTGAGGCCGAGGTGCGCAGTACTCTCCTCGACGACCGTTCGCTTGCGCTCACTCCGTGCTCCAAGGTGTCGGCTTCTGAAGGCGGGTTGAACACGGTTGACGCTACGAAGCCGAACGAGGGTACAGTCGATCTTCAGGTACGATTACATCCATATTTAGCTTTGTAGGAGCTGAAGTCGATCCCATTCAGGACTCGACGACGACGACAGGACAGGACTCGAAGCGACGAGGCTCCCAGGACGCTGCCTCTGGACAGCAGGAGGTGCGCAATTGCACGGTCTTGGAATTGGGGCCGCGCGTGATCTCCTTTTGTTCTCAGTCATCATATCACGATGAAGGAATCGTTGATCCTGCCAAGCGTCTATCGTTGGAGCTATCGCTCGGACGCCAAACCTTCGACGATGCCAAGAACGCTGCTTCCGATATGGGACTCGTCAATCCCGCGTTGGGGAAGGTTACGACGGCCGTAGATGGACTGCAGAAAGCGACGCCGACCGCGTCGTCCCTGGCGCAGACATGGTCGCCGCTGTTCGAGAGGCTGAGGAAGTTCACGGAGCTCGTCGACAAGATCGCCGAGGTGAGCCGGTTCCTGTGCCTTCGAGCGCAACTGCACGCTGATCTTTTTGCTAGGTCCATCCGTACGCGAACATGGCTTGGACCGTTCTCTCGGCCGTGCAGAGGGTAAATATACTCGATCTCTGTTGCGCATATGCTGAGGAACGTGGCGACAGGGCATCATCGCGCAAATGGAGCTTGATCAATCGGTGAAGTCTCTTCTGGATACGCTCGCGGCCACCTACGACTTCATGGATGAGGCCCAGCCGTTAGCGCGTCACGGCGTCGAGCCCGCGACGAAACTACTCTTGGCTCTTGCGCAGCAGACGATCGAATGTGGTTACTTCATACGAGACTATACGAGTCAAAAGAACTTCGGTGCGCTGGTCGTATGTCACATCTGTCCTTGTGTTGACGGTGATGCCAGTGCCAAGGATGGTGACGAACGCGCTGAAGGTCGTCGCTCATCCCTCGGACACCGCATCCGCGAAGGTCGACGCCTACAAAGCCAAGTTCGCGGAGATCAAGTCTCGTCTCTTGGAAGGATCAACGATCAGGACCGAGATACTGGTCAACACGGTCCTTAACACGGTCGAAGAGATAGGTTCGCAATCGATACGTTTACAAGCCGTCGGGACTGATCGTACTCTTAGCTGTTGAGGCCCGGATGGCACCGTTGGTGCAAGCGTGCGCCAAAGGCTCTCGATTCAACAGGGAAAAGATCTGTCTCCCAGGGACTCGCCGAGCGGTCTTGAAGATGATATGCGATTGGATAAACGACCCGATGGATTCGCACCGTCTACTCGTGCTCTCTGGACCAGCGGGATCGGGTAAATCGGCGATCGCCCATACCATCGCGTTGATGTTCCACCTGTTGCGGCGCTTGGGAGCATCGTATTGCTTTGATAGGTCGAAGGCGGAGCTCACCAGCGCCTCTCCGGTCTTCCCCACCATCGCTCGTGACCTCTCCGAGTGCGATCCTCAGATACGACGAACACTCTCGCATGCCATCTCGCAGGGATCCGCCCTCGTTGGTTCCGACAGCCTCGCCGAGCAGTTTGAGCAGTTCATCGTGAACCCTGCGAAACAGCTCGCGATCTCGGGCCCTGTCGTCATCGTCATAGATGCGTTGGACGAATGCATGGATTTGGACCGTAGCCGTCTGTTGTCAATTTTGGCAAGCAAGAAGGATGAGCACGCACTCCCATCGAACTTTCGCATCCTTGTGACTTGTCGGTCAGAGCCCGACATTACGGACACGCTCCGGCGGGCACCGCTAGACCTGATCAATGTGCAATCAATGGAGGACGTGATGAAAGAATCCGCCAATGATGAGGATATACGCGAATATGTTCGTGATGAGTTATCCAAATCCTCCGGTGAACCCAGCAACCTTAAGGCGGACCCGAAGGACCTCGAGGAGAAGTGTGCTGTTATTGCGGGTTCAGCCGAAGGATTGTTTCAGTGGGCGGCGACGGCTTGCCGCTTTTTAGCATCGCGGAACTCAGGGATGACCACTAAGCAGCGCTTGAGGATCATCTCACGCGACAAAACCACGGATACGAATAAGGGACCTCTAGATGAACTCTACCTGCGAGTGCTGCGTGCAACGTTCCGCCCCGACGCTCCGGAGGCCATGAAAAACTTTCGACAGGTGATGAGCTTGTTGCTGGCAGCGAAGGAGCCGCTCTCAATCTCCGACTTGCGGGACGTACTCTGGGGACCAGGCAATGATATAGATCTCGATCCCGAAGCGATTGAAGTCGTACTCACATGCATGGGGGCGCTTCTATCCGGCACGGATCACTTCCAAACTATTGTCCGCCCGTTTCATACTTCGTTTCGTGACTTCCTCCTGCATCATGAACGTAGCGAGGAGTTCGTTATCACCCTAGGCGGCAATGAACACCGAATGTTTTTACGCGGTACTATAGGTCTTCTTCTCAGCGAGAAGCTGCACTTTAACATGTGTAGACTCGAGACATCCTACCGTCTCAACACGGATTACCCTGACTTAGAGGAGCGTGTACGCACGAACATCCCGTCGAGCTTGATTTATTCCGCGCGCTACTGGGCCGATCATCTCGAGGAAATGGCATACAACTCCGACCTGCTGCAAATGGCGGAACGACTGCTGAAAGACAAGTTCCTGTTCTGGCTCGAGCTCCTGAGTCTTCTAGGGTCCGTTCCTACCTGCGCATGGGCACTCCTGAAGCTCGAACAGTGGACACCTCGGGCAGGTCTTTTCGTCGGTTACATCTGTCGCATGCGGCTCACATACATGTCCTGCTCTTAGGACACTGCGGAAGGACTGGAAACAGTCTCAATTATTGAGGACTTCCTGAAGTTCATCCGGGCTTTTGGGGTAGTGATCGGGTCTTCTGCTCCCCACATTTATCTCTCAGCCATACCTTTCGCACCGACGAGGTCACAAGTGCGGCGGCTGTACGAATCGAAGCTCCCCGGAAGAGCTGTGGTGGTGTGCGGTGGATCATCAGAATGGCCCGCCTTAGAATGCACCATGGACTGCAATGGCGGCATCCTCTGCGCGGAATTCTCTGATGATGGAAAACACATCTTCTTTGTCTCGGACGGATCGTTATGCTGCACTATACATGTGCGGGATGCGGCGACTGGACAGCCAGCGCGTCGACCTGTGCGCTGTGATACAGATAGTTATGTCGAGTCTGCCACCTTCTCCTCAGAGCGAGACTTTGTAGTGGTGGGGTTGAAGAACGGCACCATTCAGGTTTGGAATACCTCCACAGGGCAGCATATTCACACGCTCAGAGGGCATACAGATTATGTTCGAATGGTCGCTTTCTCTCCTGACGGCAAACAGATTGTGTCGGGCTCGGATGACAAGACAGTCTGTATTTGGAATGTGCAGTCTGAGAAGCTTGTCCATCCACCGCTCCAGCATACGCACGGGGTCTCTTCCGTTGCTTTCTCGCCCGACTCCAACTGGGTGGTCTCAGGTTCAGCAGACATTTACTTATGGGATACCACAGCGGGAACACTCGTGCACGAGCCATTGCGCGGCCGTCCATACGGTATATCCGATGTCGCATTCTCACAGAACGGAAAATGGATTGCTTCGGGCGACGAGACCGTGCAGCTGTGGGATGCCGAGTCTGGCCAGCCTATCGGGTCTCCTCTTCCGGCCCACACTAGCTTTGTCATAGCGTTGGCAATCTCCCCGGACAGCAAATTTGTTGTATCCGGTTCTGTAGACGGTGTCATTCATCTCTGGGACACAACAGAACGGGCCCTTTGCACGACTTTCCATGGTCACATGACCGCGGTAGGATCTGTGGCGTTCTCGGGAGACGGCCAGTACATCGTCTCCGGATCATACGACAATACTGTGCGCGTGTGGAACACTTCAACCCGACGCACTGAGAAGAACATTGTCAGAAGACACGCTGGTCTGGGCAGCGGTATGGCTATTTCGCCGGATGGGGAGCGTATTGTCACTTGGCAGCTCAAAGGCATTTGTGTGTGGGACGTGTCAATGGGAATGCCTGTTCAAGGCCAGCACTGGCCAGAGCACACAGCCGGCATACTCTACATTACGTTCTTACCCGATGGACGCCGCGTCTTGTCGTGGTCAGAGGATGGCAACGTTTGCGTGTGGGAAGTCTCCACCGGCCAACAGATTCGTCAATTCCAAGTTCCTACCTCGGGATCCAGTAGGCTTTTCTCGGGAGCAATATCTCCGGACGGGCGATATATCGCATTATCAAGATTAGAAAGGATTATACACGTATGGGACATCACCACCGGGGAGCGTTCGCAGGAACCTCTCAAAAGGCACACTGGTTATGTCGCATCCCTTGCATTCTCTCCAGACGGGAAGCGCATCGCATCGGGCGCATGGGACAATACGATACGTCTATGGGACGTCGAGACACGTCCATCAGGAAATGCCCCCTCTGGCAAAGTTCTACATATAGGAATACATAGTTCATAATATGACTATATTCTATTAAAATTTCACAAAAAGGCCAAAAAATCACATAAAACTGTTAAATCATGCCAGATGACTGACCATTTAGAGAGTAGGTACAAGGGGGCTTGAAACCATTGACATAGAAGGTTGTTGCAGTGTCAATCATATTAGCACTGGTCCATGTACAAGGAGAAGTTAGAGACCATATCTAGGTGTGAGTATTGGAGTTGGGGTTTGGTACTTGACTGCTGACACCTCATCCTTGCATGGCTCCCTCTGTGATATCAGTTCATCCCATCTACCCCTAGCTTATATACACATCCTGCATGTACATCTGAAAAGCTATAATGAAGGGGTACGAGGGACGGGACGGAGTGCGAACGGAACGAGCGGCTAGTAGATAAGTAAGTCTCACTGCTCGGATGTGGGAGCAAGTATGCATTCGTGTACCTAGTAGATAAGTAACTACGGTACATTAGCTCTCGGTACAGGGTATACAGGCAATAAATGAACTCACGTCTCACTGCTCGGATGTGGGAGCAAGTGAGACGTGTGCTCGCGAAAAGGAGACGGTTATCTGAAGACGGAAGTATAAGTTTTCATATCCTGATAAGTCCATACCACGCGAGGGCGCGCGCGCCGCGCGCGCAACGGCCGACACGGCGTCCGCTTGCATGCTCATCAACCATCTATCTCCAACAAGCCAGATATCTCTGTAGCCAACAACATAGTTATGTACCCCTGTAGATCACTGAGGTGATGGCTAGGAAACACTATTATAATGGTTTAGTCTCATGTGGTTGATCTCTCTAATGTCCTATTCATTTACTATTGACAGCCTCATGAACTGAAATGTATCTCTATATACTTTGGGATTGCTATGACATAGAGATACAGTAGCCAACACGGACTTAGGAGATTCAACGCGAATGAGCCCATCACGTGACGACCATCCTGCCGGCTTGTCGTCTCAGCCCACCGCGCTGGCAAGAGTGCGCCTGGCACCGCGCTTGCAAGTGTGCACGTCTCGCAAGTCTCCGCCGTCGCATCTCGCCCCGACACTTGCAGTGCCCGCTCCGCCGTCCTCAGCTTCCACCCGCTGCCCCTGTCCGAGGGAGAGCCGCCAACGCGGTCT